AGTTCTGCTTCATGCCTTCAGGGGTGAGTCCTAGGAGCAGTTCTGCTTCATGCCTTCAGGGGTGAGTCCTAGGAGCAGTTCTGCTTCATGCCTTCGGGGGTACCCTGGCCCTGAAGCTGCCGAGGCGGAGAGTGCCACAGACCCCGTGCCGTCGTGACGCCCGGTGGGTGCTCCGTGACGTGGGTCTCTGCTCTTGCTGTGTCACCAAGGGCAGTCCAGCGTCAGTGTCTTGGCATCTCCGTCAGCCTGGCCTTCTGCAGCTGGGAAATGTTCATATATGGCGGTGCGACTAATCCTGGAGAGGAGTCGGGACCACAGGGGTCTGCATTACTGGTTTGATTCCCAGTGGGGCAGGCGAGTGCACACATGGCCTTCTGTGCCGTCCCGTCCCCGGGGCTCTGCCCCAGAGGGAACTCCCCCGGAGGGAGGCTGCGTCTCACCCAGTCTGGAGAATGCCGGGCCTCCCTGAGGGATGGTGGTTATTTTTGTCTGAAGCTCGGTCAGGACCCTGGAGAGTTGCCAGGGTCAGAGTGGGAACTGCCCCGTTCCCATGGCTCCTTGGCTCCATGCTCTGACTCACACTCTGCCTCCCTGCCCCTCTGCGCCGTGCCCCTGCTGATGCCTCTGCTGGATGTTGTCTTGCAAACCTAGCCAGCTCAACCGATGAGAGCGGATTGCAGCTCGTGTGGGGGAAGACCGAAGGAGCCTTGATGGAAGGACACGGCCCCTCAGGGTCCCAGGCGGGTCAGCACCCCGGCGGGGTTCTGCAGCCCCTTCCTCCAGCTCCTGGCCCTCAGTCAGCACTGCCCTGCAGGTGGGGACTGTGGTTTTCCTCGCCTCTCGCCCCAGCCTGAGTGGGAGCTCCCCAGGGCAAGGCGCAGTGTCTATAGCACAAACTAGATGCCCAGGAAAGCTCCCGTGACTGACGGACTCTCCCTTGGAGGTGAATCAGAGGGGAGATGTGTGAATAAACACACTCTTTCAAGCCCTGCCTGTCCTCTCGGACACTCTGTGACCGTCTAGGGAGAGAGGAACCAGGGTAGCTCCACCTCTCCTGTTTGTGGGACCTCGGTTACCGAGCTTCTGGGAGTCTCAGGTTTCAAGTGGGGAGAGCTGTTCACTGCTCAAGCTCACGCTGGAGCTGGTTTAAGACTGATCGACTTCTCCCCCCACTGCCCTCTGCTTTCCTTCAGAGCTTCCGTGCCCCAGCACTGCCTCAGGAGCCCAGCCTGCTTGGTCCCCCTAGGTCCTCGCTGCCTGCGTGGCGCCATGATCTGTGTCCTGAACAGAGTCGTCCCCTTGGGGCTGGTGCTGCTGGTCTGCGGAGCCCAAGGCTTTTTCCTGCCCAACGTCACCCACTTGGAGAAGCTGCTCAGCAAATACCAGCAGGACAAGCCCCACTCCCGGGTCCGGAGGGCCATCCCCAGGTCGGACAAGGAGGAGATCCTCATGCTTCACAACAAACTGAGGGGCCAGGTGTACCCCCCGGCCTCCAACATGGAGTACATGGTAAGCGCTTCCTCCGGCCCCATCCGCCGCCCTCCTCCATCTGAGCAGCAACAGGGCCGAGTCCGTGAGAGATGGGGTGTCTGTCAGCGAGGGGCTGGCAGAGAGGGCACAGCGGAGGGTCTCCCGTGAGCCTGGGGAAATCCCACGTGTAAGGAGCAGAGGGGCAGCCGGCCCTCCAAGCCCATGCCTCCGGCCCCACGTCCATGCACGCCCCTCTGTTTCTGCTAGTACCGCTTCCCGTCCTGCCAGCCCTGTGACACACCTGCTGCTTTTCTCCCATTTTATAGACTAGGAAACTGAGGCCCGAGGTCAGAGCTGGTAGTGGCAGAACAGACCGCAGGACCCAGGCTCACAGCCATCATCCCACACCCAGTTTAAACCCTGGCACCCCCACTGCCCCTGCCCACTTCCTGTCTGCCCAGCCTGTCCCCCCAACACCTCGATCAGCCCTGGGGCTTCTCACCTCCCATGTTGTCCCCTGCTGGCCCGCCCTGAGCCCTGCCTCCTGTGCCCTTCCTGACCTTCAGCAAGCCTGTCTCCTGCTCAGGAGCCTCAGGGCCCTCTGTGCCCAGGATGCAGCCCAAATGCTCCTGCCTGGCGCTGGAGGCCCTTGATCATGAGCTCATCTGTCCTGAGAGGCCACTCGGTGTTCCCCGAAGATGCTGCCAGGCCTTCCCTCCCCCAGGAGTCCTGTCCCCACCTCGTGCCTTATCCTGTTGTAAGCAAGCCTCACTCAGGACCCAGCTCCTCTCCCTCCTTTGGACTCTACTGTCCCGTTTCATGGTGCCTTGGGCTCTGATATAGGTGGTGCTTGTGATCAGGGAGCACCCCGCGTGCCTGGGAGCCCCTCAGTGTCGCCGTCTCTGCCCTCACCAGGTGGCCCATTACCGGCTATAGGGCAGATGAAAGGCTTGCCTTTCTGTGCAGACACCCTTGGAGCAAGGCTGTCCTTTGGGAACTCGTTGTGAAACCATTTCTTCTTTCCCTCAAGAACATGGCCCAAGCATTTACTCTGAAGGGGTTGTGCTAATCTTAGGAGGAAGAGTAATGCGTCAGCAGCTGGAGCGGGCCTTTTTAGGGTTAAAGACGTAGAGAATTAGAATTCTTGGTGGCTTTGGGTGTGGACTCTTCCCCCATCCTTCCCGAGACCTGGCCTGGTCCCTGGGGTGGGGGGGAGAGGAAACTCTCCACCTCTCTGTATGGTTCGGCCTTCCTCCTGGGCCACCTCCCACCCCAAGGCCCTATATGGTGCCCAGCAAGGAGCTTGACTGAGCCCCACACCCCGGGGATCCTGGCTGCTTCCTGCCTCCTGTCGGGAACAGGCTCACTTTACGCTGGTCTTCACTTCTCCACTCTGTGCTTGTCCAGGGCTGTATGGAAGATTCGGTGCAGTGAGCAGGGCTCACAAAGGCAGCAGGGGACGTCAGTGCAGCCTCTCACGAGCCTGCCATGCTTTCCTGTTTATTTTGTGTTATTTCAGGATTGGAGCTGGGATCTGGGTCCTTAGGTCTAAATGGCCTGCCTGTCAGGGAAGCTGAGCCTTCATTGGTGTTGTTGGCGACACCTCTGAGCAGGGGACCCGAGGCAGGGGAGGTAGCACGAGGCCCAGCTCCTCCACCCCAGGCCTGCCCATCTGTTCTGGTCTCCACCCAAACAAGGGGCACTCATTTGAGAAATTATCTTGAAAATCCAGCTTCCTGCTCAGTCGTGCCTGCTGGGGCTTCAGCCGTGGTCCTTTTGAAATAGGCTTAGCCCTGAAAGGCGGACATTAAAACTCCAAAGATTTGAGACACCCTATTTTGAGGTTTTATAGGTGACTGGGCTCTGGAGCCAGCCTGCCACTTGGTAGCTGTATGACTCCAGGCAGATTAGTTAGCCTCTTTGTGTTCATGTCTCCTCACCTGCACAATGGGGACAATAAAAGTACCTCTCTCATAGGATTGTTTGGAGGAGTCGATGAGATAATGCATAAGTGCTAAATAAATGTTAACTATACTGTTGCTGTTACTATTTTAGTAACTTATTATTTTAGTGGAGTGGGACCAGCGCTTGGTGACAGCATGCAGAGCAAGATGAGACCCCTGGGAAGCCAGATAAAGCTGGTTTTTTTTTTTTTTTTTTTAAGATTTTATTTATTTATTTGAGAGAGAGAGAGAATGAGAGATAGAGAGCATGAGAGGGAAGAGGGTCAGAGGGAGAAACAGACTCCCTGCTGAGCAGGGAGCCCGATGTGGGACTCGATCCCGGGACTCCAGGATCATGACCTGAGCCAAAGGCAGTCGCTTAACCAACTGAGCCACCCAGGCGCCCCAAAGCTGGGTTGTTAAAGTTCTAACTTCCTGCTGTGTGACCTTTGGCGAGTTACCTAACCTCTCTTAGCCTCAAGGGTGTTTTTGTCTGCAACAGTGGGAAAATATAACTTAACCTCAAGGGCTTATTCTGAGAATTAAATAAGAAGGTGGTGCTAATAATGTTCTCTGGCAAGTGGCAGGTGTTCAGGTACAGGGCTTAACCCTGCTCCTGGCACGTAGTAGGTGCTTGAGAAAGTTAATTTCCTTAATATCCAGGTACTGTTTACTGAGAGTTACTCGATACCTTGCCTGGGGGCTTGATGCCTGCTCATTCAACCTTCCCCCAAATCCTTTTCTGGCGGCATCATTAGCCTAGATGGGGAAACAGGCTCAGAGAAGTGAAGCCACTTGTCCACAGTCACACAGCCAGCAAGGGGCAGAGCCTGGCCCCATACTCTCACCAGTGCCCCCCACTGCCTGGCTCTTTCCCTCTTTCTTGCCCCAGTCACCCCTTTGGGGGGTAGAGAATGTTCACCTGTGCCTCTCTGAGGTCCTACTATGTGCCAGGCACAGCTGGAGCCAAAAGAAGGGTGGGAGGTGAAGGGCAGGCCCAGAAGGAGGCGTCGAAAGCAGGGAGGGGAGAGCTAGGTCCTTGTTTGGCTGCGTCCTCTACCTCCAGCCAGAATTTCAGAAGCCCTGAACCCCCAGAGATCTGCCAGGGCCCTCCTTACAGCCCTCCCCGCTGAGCTGCAGAAAATGTTATGGACGCAAACCAAAGGCACACAAGGTTCACGTTGATTAGAGTAAACAGTGAACTTCTGAGAAGCTAGTGAGCCTCGGGGTGGGGTCAGTGCCTGCACGCACTCTGCCCTGCCTCCCTGGACTCTGGGAAGGGCCTTAGCTGGCCCCAGCCAGAGGGATCCTGGTGTTCTCTCCTGTCCCCCACGGCCCTCCCCTCGCAGTGGATGGTGTCTGTTCCTGCATGGAGCATCAACGGGTGCTTGCTTGGAGATGGAGCCACCAAGTTGGTTCGGGCAGTTTATTGGGGAGGGGGTGATGCACAAGTCCAGAAGACAGGAGGGAGGAAGTCCAACATCACAGTATACTATGGGGTCTCCCAGTGGGAGCGGGGGCTTGGATCTGCTAAGTAAAGAGAGCAGCAGGAGGATCACCCACCCAAAGGCAGGCCTGTCCCCTCCCCACTTCAGGCTGTCCCGGGCTTGGGAGAAGGATCCCAGGCAGAAGCAACACAGTGCTCGGTGGGCACATCAAGAGAGGAGTCTGATGTCTGAGTGTACCCAGAACATCCACTGCAGCGGAAACGGGGGTTGCGTCCAGGGGTGTGACCCAGGTCCACAGAGGCATCTGCCCTAGGCCAGGACTCGCCCTGGATGTTCCACAGTCTCTGGCATTGAGGCCGGAAAGAGGCAGCTGGGCAGGAGGTTGGGGAGGTGCTCGGCTTCATCATGTTCCGTCCTGGGGGCCTGCAGTTAGCGCTGTGAGTGTCCCGTTCCAGGCCAGGTCCCGGGGCTCTGCCTGACCGTCTTCCCATGAGCACCTACTGTGTGCCGGGGGCTGGGGCGCCCCCGAGAGGGAACAGCGCCTGCCCGCCTGGCCACCAGGAGTAGGACGGACAGCAGCTGACCGAGGGCAGTGAGCCCCGCTGCTTTGTTCACCGTGTTCCTTCCCGGGGAGTTACTTGCGTCCCTGGGCCGACGGGGAGGCAGGACGGGTGGTGCAGCCTGTTTCAGATCCTCGGGCCCAGACCCTGCCCTTGGCACCCCCCCCCCGCCCCCCGCCCCGGGCCTGGGTGGGCTGTGCCGCAGGAGAGCAGGATGGGCCGGGAGGGAGGCATTTCTTGCTCCTTTTCTTTTTAGAACAGTAAAATACACAAAACATAAAATTCACCCTTTTGACCGCTTTTAAGCATACAGTTCTGTGGTGTTCAGCACGTTCACAGGGCTGCGCCGAGGGCACCCCCAGGCAAGGGGCTTGCCTCAGCATCCCGGGCAAGTGGGAGCCCAGAGCAGGAACTGCGAGGACCGCCGTGGGCCGGGCTGCTCTGAGTTCTTTGCTGCCCTGCCCCTTCCCGCTTGCCGGGTCAGGAGCCCGTCCAACATCTGCATGGCACCCAGTGTCCGAGAACGGAGACCTGGCCCGGGCTCCGCGTGGAGCCCATGCGGGGGCTGTGGCTGCAGGTTTCATTCTTACACCATCCCTGACCCTGGTGGCCCATGTCTCCTCTCCTTGCAGACCTGGGACGAGGAGCTGGAGCGGTCGGCGGCAGCGTGGGCTCATGAGTGCCTCTGGGAGCACGGGCCCACCAGTCTGCTGGTGTCCCTCGGGCAGAACCTGGCCGTCCACTGGGGCAGGTAAGAGCTGCCGCGGTCCCCCCTCGCTTGTGACCTGGCCGCCCCTGCAGAGCACCTACTGTGTGCTGGGCTTGGTGCTCGCTGTCCGTTGTCACGTTTAAGTCCTCAGGATCCCCCATGCCCGTCTATATGTGGGGAAACAGGCTCAGTGCCCAGGGCCACTTCCAAGTAATTGGCAAAATGGATGTGAGCCTGCTTGTTGGCTCCAGACACTGATCACCAGGCTTGGGGTTTCTAGCTTGGGGGTTCCATTCCACTTCCTTGAAAGGATTCTCGAGCCCGTTGCGGCAGGGAGCTGGCCGGGTGAGCTGGGAACATGGGGATGCTGCTCAAGCAGTGCTGGTTCGAGTGTCTTCTCTGCCCCGGCGCGTCTGGGTTCTGCTCCTTCTCCAGGCCCAGCCAGGTTCCACCTAGCGAGCAGCTGTCCCTCACCTTCCCCTCCTCGTCTGGCCATTGGGAGGCTCACCCTCACCACCCAGGCCCCCTTGCCCGGAGGAGGCTCTTGAGCACAGTCTCTAAGATGCATGCATCTGAGCACCCACCTGGCTGAGGGCTGGTTTCCTTAGGGGACATGGGGAATATGCCTTCTGGCTGGTGCAAACGCACCAACCAACCAGACAATGTGCTGTGGACGCAAGTCCTCCGGGGCCGAACCCAGGGCTGGCCAGGGGCTCAAGGCCCACTTGTGCTTTGCCGGCATCATTGAAAAATTAGACCGGACTTGAAGTATCCCCTTAAAGTACAGGTTGCCTGACTTGCAGCCCAGATATTCCCCAGCTTTGTAAACGCCTGCGTTCAGTGTGGCTGCAAATAGTCAGCTTCCTTTAGGTCAGTGCCTTTCCAGGACAGAACCTGAGCAGGTGTCATAAGGGGTCCAGACTTCACAGAAGTGAATTAACACCTGGTTTTGTTTCGTTTTGTTTTGTTTTGTTTTGTCTTCTGGTGAATTCTGCTTTTTGTAAAATCAGTCTTCCAGCAGCATTAAAAGAAAATGTCTACAGGGAGAAAACCCATCATTCCATTGGCCTGGCTCAGCAGCCAGAATATTCCTGGACTCCTGTGTAGTATCTGGCTGTGGGCCGGCATATTTTTACTTCGTGGTAACGATGGCCAGGACAGCTTTTAATTCTTTCCCCCCTTCTCATATGGTATCAGATGGTTCTTCTATTCTGTAGCATCATTGTCAAGGCTGCCTTCGGGCCATTGAGCCGACAGGCCGAACGTTAGCCATTCTTGGATCTGGTCTTGGTGTTGCTGCATCAGGCTTAGTGCTGGGACTGATGGTGCCGGGGCCATAGAGAGCTTGCCCCTGCGGGATGCTGAGTGCCAACCTGCTTTCCCAAAGAGCCCCCTTCGTTCTCCGGGCCCCTGCAGCAGCCTGGCCGTGGCACTCCGGGGAATCGGACGGGCACGGGTGTCCCCACACAGCCCTGTGGCTCCGTGGTTCTGTGGCGGCCAGCGTCCTTCTCCAAGCAGGCCCCGGCCACATCACTGACCACCACCATGCACTCTGGGCTCTGACAGTAATTGTTACAAGACCTCTAACTGCCCGGCTCACCACAGTGCTCTCAGAAACGGCCAGACCCCTCGTGTCTTCTCTCTTTATCGAAACCGCTTTGTTTACACTTGCTGGTGACGCTGACCAGTGATTTGTGTCCAGTTTATTTTCTTTCCTGGGAAGAAAGCAACGATGCCAACCCAGTGGATGGGGCCGAGCAAGGGGGCTGTGGCCACCCATGGTGATGACCAGGGTGGGGGTGAGGGAGGGCTCAGGGGATCAGATCCTAAATAGGAAGTTTTGGAAAGGGTTTGCCCAAGTGACAGCAGGGCTCTGCATCCTGCAGGTTTCTACATCTTCAATTCATTTTCTACCTTGTGTCTGAGTCTTTGGGTCCCCCCTCCGGCAGCTGAGGAATGAAGCCAGCCACGATGATAGAGAAACATGAGCCTCTAGGCTCTTGTTCGGGGGTGATGGGGACCCATGTGCCCTGTCCCCCATAGCTGGCTATTTTGCAGCTTTCAGACCTTCCCCGGTGTTCCTTCTGTGCATTACCTGGACAGTTACTTACTCACTGTTTTTCTCTGCACTGACTTTAAAGGGACTCACGTTTTCAATCAAGTTGTGTTTTAACAATCATATCTGGGAAATCGGGGGTTCGTGGGCTACGTGTATTTCCCCAAATGTACATGGGCATAAATACATAATTGTAATATAAACAATGACTCACTGGGGGCCAGGCAAATGTTTCCTGCACACACAGGTGGCGTGTGGACCACCCAGGGAAATTCCTGGAACCCAGGCACTCCGGGGATGCCCAGGTGAGCTCCTTGCAAATTTGGGTTATAGGCACTTACAGCAAATGCTGGGCAGGATTTGGGGCTGTTTGCCCACAGCAGCCCCCTTCTCCAGCCCGCCCCGTGGGTGGCTGTGCCGTGAGCTGTGGTCTTGGTCTGTTGGGTGTGTGGTGGCCCGGACATAACTAGCTGATCTGCCGTCTCAGGTACCGCTCTCCCGGCTTCCATGTCCAGTCCTGGTATGACGAAGTGAAGGACTACACCTACCCCTACCCCCACGAGTGCAACCCCTGGTGTCCGGAGAGGTGCTCTGGGCCCATGTGCACCCACTACACACAGGTAATCCCCGAGGCCTGAGCTGAGACCTCAGCCCAGCACCCCCAGACCCCGTCACTCACCTGGCCCTGCAGGACTGCTACCCAGTTGGAAAACTGCTCTGTCATTACCATAATATTTTCCTTTAATTGGGTATTATTTAAAGTACGGCTGCTGGGCTGAGCTTGGGTTTGTGACACAAGCACAGAAATGGGGAGTAAGCGCTAGAAACTTGTATGGCAATTTTCCATCGCTAGCACATTTTCCTCGTGTGTGGTTTGTTTTTGTTTGGGTGTGTGTTGTGTGTGTGTATGTGTGTGTGTGTTTAACAAACATGGATCTTCAGGGGGTTAGGGAAAAAATCTGGTCCTTCACCCCTTCACAACATACACCCCTTTAGCGCCAGCACCCTGGAGATCCAGGCCAGACTATGTTGCCCTGCTCTGCTTTGTCCCTGGCTCTGACACGTGGATGTCATTTTTCAGATAGTCTGGGCCACCACCAACAAGATTGGCTGTGCTGTGAACACCTGCGAGAGGATGAACGTTTGGGGAGACGTTTGGGAGAATGCGGTCTACCTCGTCTGCAATTACTCTCCAAAGTAAGAACAAGGAACATGGTTGTATTGGTTGGGATGCGTTTGCCTGACATGGAGGACCCAGCTAAAGTTGGCTTAAATGGTGAGGTCTTTTCATTAGTTCACATAACAAGACATCTAGAGATTGATGCATCCAGTTCAACTTAAAAGCTCAGCAGTGTCAGTGAGGACTCAAGCTCTTTCTGTTTCCTTGCTGTACGAGCCTATCCTCATGGTTCCGAGATAGCTGCAGAGCATAAGGCATCACATCTTCCCAAATTCAAGGGAAGAGAATGGTAGAAAAGGGCTTTCTCTTGGGCCTTTCTCAGCCCTGGCCCACTTTCTCCCTTTGTCATTGGCCAGAACTAGACCACTCACAGATCGGGGGGTGGGGCACAAGATTTCCCTAATTGGCTTCAACCAATGAAATTGCCCGGTTGGCTTTGCAAGTCATCTTCTGGGACTCCCTGAGCAAATCAGAAGCCGGAATAGCTGTTGGCTGGCCAGCCAGTGGGGTGTGCCATAGCGATATTCTTTTTTTTTCTCTGAAAATATGCAGCAGATAGCAATCTAGGAAACGTATACATGCTAGACCTAGTTTTTGCATTTTTATGTTTTGCCTTCTAGAAAAGACCACATGGAGCCTCTGTGTCTCAGCCCCCTTCTTCCTCACAGCATCCTGATATCATGAGTGTGCCATTTATCCCTCTATTGACTCCTTCACCTCCTTTGCTCATCAAATAATGTGCTGCTTCTTGGACACTGCCCTCCCCGTGTATGGCCTGTGGTTTGCACGCCGGCCGTGGGGCTGGCCGTCGCCTAGCACCAGCCCCTGCACACAGTATGCCCTTGAGGCATATTTGCTCAGTGATCGAATGAAATGAGGATGACCTCACTTATTTGGTTTGGGTCAGGAGTGGCCGTGAGGAGGTAGGATGAGAAGGAATTGCTGAGGTCAGGAGGAAAATAGATGCTCTCCGTCAAGTGTCTGGCACGCCTGTGCTGGCCGTGTCTCGTAGCCCACAGGCCCGGCGTGAAGGCGGGAGGATTAGGTCATCGCTGTGGTTGTGGGGGCACGCCAGCCCCGTGGAAGAGCACTAACTGGCCCATGATGGTGGGATCCCTGGCAGAGTGGCTGGTGCGGCATGAGGGATATTTCGATTCCACTCTGTATAAAAAAGAAAAAAAAAATACACGTGAAGATCCTATCAGAAACAGAGTTCTGCCTTTCTCAGCGCCCAGCTGTTTTCTTGGAAAAAAGAATAACGTATGGATGATGCACACTAGTCTTAAGCGTGCGGCCCGATAAGTCCCACACGTGTCTGCGTGGGCTAGCCGGCGCGGGTGGCCATGACCGAGGCCCAGAGCCGCGCGTCCTCAGGTGGCGGCACAGCGGGGCCGGATGCCGGCGAGTCCCTTCCTCCCTGTGTCCTCACGTGGCCTTTCTTCAGACTCCCTAGTGTCTCCTCTTTTAGGGACACTAGTCCTGGGGGATCGGGGCCTTATCCCGTGACCTCATGTCACCTCACTTACCTCCTGGGAAGCCCCGTCTCCACACACCGCCCCCCTGGGGGTTAGGGCTTCAACGCAGGAATTAGTGGGTGGCGGGGAGACACGCATTCAGTCCGTATGATACGTATATAGCCCTGTAACTACCACCCAGCTCAAGATGGAGCGTATTTCCAGGGGCCCAGGATGTCCCCCAGAGGGGCCACCATCTGACATCTGTCTGCATTGGTCAGTGTCTGGTTTGGACCCTCCCGCGAATGGACCAGACATGTATGCCCTTTCGTGCCCAGCATCTGCTCAACACCGTGCGTTTGAGATTTATGCGCAGCGTTGCCTGTTCAGTGGGCCATTTTGATTGCCGTGTGGTATCCATGGCCTCTTTCCTCAAGAGTCTGAGCCCCTGGCCTTGCAGGATGCTGAGCCGGGCACCAGACCTTCCAACACCAGCAGGGGCCCCTGACCTCCCTGGAAAGCCATCAGAAACGCCACCTGACAAGCTTGTTGATTCAGCAAACGCTCGCAGAGCACGCGACCTTCACCATGAGCGGGGCCCTGGTCTGAGGGCCTCCACGCCATCCCTCTGTCACTGCACAACCTCCCGCTGGGGCCCCTGATACAGAGAAGGAGACAGAGGGCCAGGGCTGAGGGCGGCGGTGGGGTCACACGGCGGGCAGGGCTGGGGTCCAACTTGGGGAGTCGCTCTGGACTGCTCAGTGGAGGGAGGCTGAGGGAGGCCAGGGCCAGGCTTAGCTTAGTAGTGGGGCTCTGGATTGCCTTCCTGAGTGAACAGATGGGTGACCAACCAGGTCAACCCTGAAGGAAGTTTCTAGAAGGAATCACAGAGACTGTTACCTTGTCACGCCTGGCTCCAGCCTGTGTGCCAAAGGCCCAGGCTCTGGGAGAGGGGCTTGGGGATACCGCTCCGCACCTGCTACCTGGTCCCCAGAGAACCAGACCCTGACCGGCCTCCAGTTTTCCTGCCTGGGAACTTCAGAGGGAGGTGTGACGGTGCCCATGACATCAGGAGGGACCTTGGTCCCAACTGTGAGGGTAGAGCGCTCAAAGGCTCTGAGCCCCTCCGCTTGCTTGCTGTGTGACCTTGGGCAGGACACCTAACCTTTTTGAGGCCCAGTGGCGTCCTCTAAAAAAGGTTGGAATTCCAGCACGTCCCTCCTGGGTGTCGGAAGGATGGGGGGACCTGGTTGTAGGAGCTTAGTAAACACGAGGTACTCCTTAAAACATGCTGACTTTTACTCCTTTGAGAAACGGCTTAACAGGGGGAGCTCAGCAGCTTTCCAGTATGAAGGGGTTGGGGCTGGGGTGGGGGGTGGGGGACAGTGTTCAGAGTTGTGTAAGGCAGGACACGGGCAGATGTGGGGCCCGGGGTGTGGTAACACACACCCCAACGTGGGGGGACCAAGGTGCTGGGGAGGAAGGATATGTCACAGCTCCTGACCAGCATTCTTCTAGAATTCTCTAGGCTCCGTGCAGTTGCCTCTCCCCCTTTGCCCAGCACACACACCCTCCTTCCTCCCCTGGACAGCCCAGGAAGGGGGAGAGGAGGGGCCCCCGGCCCTCGGGCGGCGGCCCCTCCTGATGGTGTTTTTGGTGTGTCCGCAGGGGCAACTGGATTGGAGAAGCCCCGTACAAAACCGGCCGGCCCTGCTCCGAGTGCCCACCCAGCTATGGAGGCGGCTGTAAGAACAACCTGTGTTACCGAGGTAGGAAGTGACTTCGAAGCCACCCCGAGTGGCTGTCCCCTCTGTCTGTGGGTCAAACGGGAAAACGGAACACTGAAGTCAAGGTGCCCCCTCCCCCTGCCTGTGCAGCCATGCGTGGTGGGCAGACCCCCCTCTCCAGTCCTGGGGTTCAGCCCCCTGGCTCCTTGGAGACACGGGGCTGCGCTGGCATGTCCCCCCAGGAGGCCTCTCCTGGGGCCACACCCTGAGCTGGGTGCTGGCCGCACGCCACGTCCTTGCTGTCGTTGGCGCTCGTGGCTTAAATACCCAACGAACCAGACGGTGCCCGTCCCAGGTGACCTCCAGGCTGGGCAGGGGCGGCCTGCCTCCTTGATGGCCTCCTTCCTTCCACCCTGTTTGCCTTTTGCTGATGCCTCACCTGGATTTGCCGTAAATGTTCACGGTTCCCTTCCCGCCGTGGCCTGGGCAGATGCCTCGCTTTTAGGGGCCGCGTACCTGCCACGTATCCTACCCCTTGTTACTAGTCGGCCCTCTCAGGACGTTTCCACTGTCCCCGCTACTAGAAGTAACGTACCCTGGTGCCTAAAGTGTCGCTCACGTGTTGCAGTATTTTCTCGGGCTCTGTCCCAGGAGGGATGGAACTGGGCCTGAGGGGCTAACCAGGTGTTTGTGTTCGGGACGTGTTGTCCGCGTGGCTGCCCCAGCAGGCCCTGTGACAGCAGAGGGGGTCTCCCCGAGGCGCTGGCGGGCGGGAGAGGGTGGCTCTCCACGCCAGGCTTTCCCTGTCAGTCTGGTGGGCTCTGGGGTGCAGAAACGGGTGGGCTAGGGTGGGGGTCCCAGACCCGGTCACGGCCCAGGGGCCCTGTTGTCTCGGCTAGCTCTTCACTGCTGGTTCTGCCCATCATGGGGGCCGAAGGGCAGGAGGTGCAAGGATCTGGATGTGAGACAAACGTGTTTGTGCTGCTCCCTGGGTTGTGTGTCATCCACGGGCAGTGGAGTGTCCAAGGGGCAGACTTCAAGGCTGGTTCTCAGACCCCTCGGTCGCTCTGCCCAAAGATGGGCGTGACAACACCAGGCTTCCGTTGGGTACGTCAGGCTCCAGTGAGGGAGTCCGCGCATTCGGTATGGATGTATCAGCACCTGCTGCGTGCAGAACGTTGCCGGGTGGTATCTATGGGGATGATCATGGGACCTGACACTTAAGACCCTACCCTCATAAGACTGGGGTCCAGTGGGGTCATGGCCATGAGCAGTGACATGTGTCTTCCCAGGGAGCTTACAGCAAGAGCATCGGCTGTCATCCAGCAGGGTCAGGGAAGGCCTCCTGAGCAGGTGGCCGTTGAGGAGGGAGATGCAGCCTCGGGGTGAGAGCAGGGGAGGGTGCTTCCCACAGGGGCCAGAGCACCTGCAGGCGCCTGTAGGTATGAGGGCAGCGTGGTCATGAGCCCAGGAGACAGGGAGGCTTGTTAACTGTAATTTCTCCCGTTGGCCCACCCCTCTTCTCTGTCTCCGAGGCGGGGCTCCACACGCTTGTCTTTAGTGACCGCCCCCCCCCCCAGATATCCCCGCTCCAAAGCCTGCATTCACGAGACATGGGTTCTAGAGCCCGGCACATCTGCTTTAGGAACAGCACGCCGGCCACATTCCGGCCGCAGGACCCTGGGCAGGCCGCCCCTCTCTCTGAGCCTCAGTCTCCCTGCCTGGAGGTGGGGGTCAGGGCAGGACGAGATCATGGGTGGAGGCTGGTGTCTGGGCCCTTCCCTGTGTCCCTGGCAGGCAGGGCCTGTGGCTCCTGTCCAGTCCCCCAGGAGGGGCGAGTCCCCTGTCAGATCCTGAGCGCTGATTTGGGGACCGAGGGAGAGCAAGGCCCGTTGAGGCTTCTCCTTGGGTCTCCCGCTGTTCTTTGCTCCAGCCTAATCTCGTCATAGGGCTGTTTTCAGGGCCCGTCAGCCCCTCCGTGAGGGGCTCCAGGCGCACAAGCCAGAGCTGCTCAGGCTAGGAATTGTCTCCATGGTTACCGGAGGTGCGTACTTGGGCAAACTGCATGCTCTCTTTGGGCCTCAGTCTGCCCCTCTGTAACAGTGGCAGTAAGAGTCCGTCTGTAGAAGCTTTGCTGGGAGGGTGCAGAGAGAAGGATGTGGGTTGCTAACACAGCAAGCCACACATAGTGCCTAATAAACACACTCATTACCCTCTCGGAGAAGTGCGGGTGGGGAGGTATGACTGCACTTAGCACCTTGCATGGGGTCCTTCCTCACCTGGTGGGGACTGTAGGCCCTCTCCCTGCCTGGGGGCCTCATCCATGTGGTGAACCCTTCCCCTCCTTGGAAACACAGCTCTGGTGTCACACCTCCTCCAGGGAGCCCTCCCTGACTACACAGGCAATGCACCTGCTTCTGTGCTCTTTCTGCCCCCAGACTCTCCTGGAACCCCGATCGCCTGTTGTTCCAACTGTCAGTTTGCTGTGAGGGCTCTAGGGTCATGGAGCAGATGTGTTCTGAATGCATCTACTGCCCATGCACACAGAGGGTCATTTTCAAAGAACACATGCACACAAAGACACCTCAGATGCTGGGTTACCCACCCAATGAAGCCTTTGTGCTTGTTTCTTTATTTTTGGTGGAAAACACCCAGGTCCCCTTGGCAGGCATCCCAGTTTTCTCAGCTAACCAGGCAGAAAATCTCCTGTAAAGCAGCTTATCTGCATAAGCTACTTAATAAGCACTGACTGAGGGTGCCTGGCAAGGCCTTGACCTATAATGGAGATGGAGCAGGATTAAAGATAGACCATTCGAGACGTTTCCATCCCTCCAGCCTGAAACCGTGAAACCGTGTGGTGATCAAGGGTGTGGGCTTCATGGACAGGCAGCTCGACCCTCAGCTATGTGAGCTTGGGCAGGTAGCTTAGCCTCTCTGAGCCTCAGTTTTCTGGTCTGTGAAATGGGGCTGATCATTCCTCCCAGGGAGCGAGGAGAGCACACCAAGGAAGCATCGAGCTGGCAGGGAATCATTCAGTGTGTGCCCAGTACACATTAGCCACGAGCTCTGTCCCTACCTACAGAACCAGGTAGGAATCTGCAGGCCAATGTAAGCAATGCTGTGGGGCCCGAGACCCCTGGTCCGGAGCTGGATGGTGTGCACGGTAACCTTGCGGTGAACTTGGGCATGGAATTTCCCCAGGCCTGCACTGCTCCACACAGGGGATCTTAATTAGGATGTGCTCAAATACAGCCTGTCCTCTGGGTAAGCATTCCACTTTTCATGTGTGTGTCTGAGGGCAAGGACTGTCTGCCCATTTTCTTAAATAGTGAGCCCTCAAATGCTTTAGACGGCTTTACCGAACTATATTCGGCTGAATAAAGCCGCGATTATGAGGTATAAAAATCCTAAAGGCCAGTGGAAGAAAACCCGGCTCATTCCAGAGATAGCTCTGGCTTTCGGTGAAGGGCAAAGCTGAATGGCCACATTGACGGGAAGAGCAGACCAGAGACAGAAGATGTGGACCGAACGGCGTTTGCAAACCCAGGGTCTTCGCAACGATTTCGCCTCTAGCTTTTGGCTCCAAGCGGTGCTTTCAGAATTCTCATCATGAAGGTCTTTAAACTCAGCTGGGACTCTTTTTTTCTCTCTCTTTTTCCCCCCGAAAGAACTCAAAGAGAGAATTCTTTAAGGGTTAGCTCATCCTTCATTTAGCAGATTTTGTTGAGCAAAATTGTAGATGGGAGCTGGGTGTCTGGGGGTGGGGGCAGGGGGGTGGGTGAAGCAGGCTGGTTCCTGGCCCCAGGGAGTTTGCAGCTGGTGGGAGGGGCAGGTGGTGGTGGCCTCATGGCTGTCAACAGAGCTCGGATAAGGATGGCATTGGGGCTCAGGACTGCCATCCGCCTCCCGCTTAAATCCCACGCCCTCTCCTCACCTGGGGTGGAGGCTGTGCGTGGGGGTGGGGGGCACTGGCCCGTGAAACAGATGCAGCACATCCCAGCCTTGAAAAGCCCTGGAGAATTGGTCCTTGATTTGGATCCTTGTTTTGCAGAGCCACAGAACACCTGGTTCCCCTTTGGAGACGAGAGGTCGTTGCTCCTAAGGAGAAATGGGAGTGAGGCTAGGGAGTTCATGAGCACTTGCTGCTGCTTGAATTTGAATCCCATGCCACAAAGAGGCCCGGGAGGGGCTCCCAAGGCGGGGGTTACCAGCTCTGGTCCTCAGACACCCTTGGGGAATGGGTGTGCCCCCTAAAGGTGAGAGGGCTCCCCGCCTCGCCCCACAAAGGTTCGCATCAGTTAGTCCTTGACAAGGCCTTGCAAGCCGATAAAAACAGCAAGACTTTCCTGTGCATTGGCTGAATTTACAGTTGGGTACCCTGATGGCCTACAAGTGGGTTCTGATGAGTGCCCACAGGTGTGTCTCAGGAGAAAAACTGGAAGATGCTCATGAGAAATGGAATTTGTTTGGTTAATTAACATGTGTTAAACCTGGGGGTTGTGGTCGTGGTTGGAGAAGAGATAATACTGGGGGTGGAAAACATACTGGGACCCGATGGAGTAACTCTGTTTTTAACCTGGAATTGGGTCTTTGGCTGGTTGTACACGTTGTTGGGCAGTGAAGCTTCAGTGCAGAGAAAGGCGTTGGCTTGGTTGAGTGATGACTCACAGAGGTGCAGAATGGAGCAGAGTGTGCCCGAGGCCGGGGCGCAGCGTGGTCCAAGGACACTGACGCAGGTCGTCGGACTGAGGAAGACCCCTCTCCCAGTGAATACCGGAGGCCAGGGGGACCTCAGGGCAGACAGTGCCAGGTTGGGGTCAGAGGGTGAGGCAGCCTCCTGAAGCTGCTTCCTTGGGCAGGTGGTGGCGTGCGGGAGGAGGGACGAGAAGCCGCTCTGATCACCCAGGTGCGGCACTGGGGTTTGCGCCTCCGGTCAGCCCGGCTGCTCCTGGGTCCAAGGCAAACACGGCGCGCAGAGAGCCCGGCCGCCTTGCCTTGGCTGTAGAATTCCCCTGGCCGGCCCGGCTCTGAAGTGTAACTTTCTCTCTGCGGCTGAACCGACCCTTTGTGGCTGTGAACCTCAAGCCAGTGCACTTTCCCAGTTGCCGTTTTCCCCGCAAAGTACATTTTTGTTGACCTCCCCCCACCCACCATGTTCTCTTTTTCACCCTCTGCACTCTTAAGAAGAGACGTACAGCCCCAAACCTGAAACAGACGAGATGAATGAGGTGGAGGTGGCTCCCATTCCCGATGAGAAGCCCGTCTGGGTCCAGCCGAGGGTGGTCAGACCCACGAAGCCCAAGAAAGCACCCGCGGTGACCTACATGAGTGAGTCGGGGCTCCGTCCTCTGCCCTCGGGCTGCCTCTGCTGGGGGGGCGGGGGGGAGGCCTGAGAGGTCTCCAGGTCAGCAAACAGTGGGGAACGGGGCGGGGTGTAGCTGCAAAAGCGCAGCCCTAAGACATTTTTAAAAAATGATATTTTTAAGCCGTTTCCAAAGCAAGCATCATAGGAGTGGTGTTTGGGTGGTGTTCCCCCCCGCCCCCGCCGCCCCCCGGCAGCATTTCAAGGTTAGCCCAAGGTTAGCGCCTTTCAAAGGGGGCCTGGGCTAAAACTGGGTTCTTCTGGAGGTTCCAGCGGGACGAGCATCCCCGGGGCCGTCTCTGGTGGGCTCTGCCTCTTCTTCACCACATACTGGCTGGTGACTCGGACCCCCACTGGCCTCTGTGAGACTTGGTTTGCTCATCCATACAAGGGGGCAATAAGGCCCATGCGGGGTTGCTGTGGGGATCATGTGCAGTAGTAGGGGCCACCCAGTGTCAGCTCTGAGCTCATCACCACGGTGCCTTTCAGGGCTCCCCTCGAGGCTCCTGGAGGCCCCCAGATGCAGACTATTGTCGTGCTCACCCCTCGCCCGGCTTTCCCCTGCCCTGCACGCACGCTCACCTCCCAGCTTCCTTCTTTTTGCCCTCACCTGCCCGGGCTGGAGCTCAGTGTTCCATGTCCCCGACGTAGCCCCTTTATGGAAGGTTCGGGTCTCCCGGGGGCATTTTTGTATGGGCACAACACAGGCCTGGGCTGTCCGCCTGGGATTCTCCATGTCCCCTGAGCCTCCAGTAGCATAAAACGGGGCTCCCCCACCCTGAGCAAGGCCGAGCTCATGCTCATGTTTCTCCGCACCCCCCCCCCAGTTTTTTGGGCTGCTCTGTCCCTGCCCTGCCTGACCAGTCTCTGTCCTCATGGGTCTGACAGTGTCACTCTATCAAACTGTCACACTATGCCAAGATTCTGCTGTGTCCCTAGAAAACAAACAAGGAGAGCTTGACAGAACTCATCTTGGCTGGAGAAGGCTTGTGAGTCCCACTCTTCTGGAACCCTCTGGGGCTTCGGGGCATGTGGTGTGGGCCAGGCCCCCTTCCAAGGCCACACTGACTTTCTCAGTGAATGCTCGCAGAAAGAGCACCCATGGCACTTGTCCCTGCTGCTCCTCTGAACCTCAGAGGAGGGGAAGGCACGCGTCCGAGGTCACGCGGCTACTCTGAAGGGCCGGGTCTGGGATTCGAACCTCGCAGCTGACGCCTGCAGCCATTGGGTAGTGCTTCTGCTCAGATTATGACATGGGTACCAGGATGTTCCGGAAAGTTCGTCGGAGTGCGGGCTGGTATCTCTTACCTCAGACCGATCCCCCTGTTTGTGTGACATGCGTTCTTGAACTTCTCTCGTAGCCCAAGTTGTCCGATGTGACACCAAGATGAAGGACAAGTGCAAAGGGTCCACGTGCAACAGGTGAGGTCTGGGCTGGACCCCTCTGGTGCCTTTGAAGGGTCTGCTGTGGGTTGTGGGTCGGGTCATAAGTTAGAGTGACCGTGATGTCTCCAAGGTCCCTCCGACTGCCACCATTTATCAAGAGCTTGGCCCACCACGAAGGTGATCTGTGTCTCTCAGCCCAGAGCAGGGCTTCTGAACCTCGGCGCTCCTGACACTTAGGGCCAGATGATTCTCGAGGGTGGGGCTGTTCCGTGCCCTGTAGGGTACTGAGCAGCATTCTGGCCTCAACCCACTGGATGGCAGGAGCACCCCCACCTCCAGCTGTGATGATTAAAAATGGCGCCAGAAATTGACCCCCGTCCCGGAGGGGTAAAATCACTCCCAGGTGGTAATAACCTTTGACTAGGGAGTTGACCCAGGCTCTGGGTCTCCATTCACCTGGACGTAAATTGCAGTTAAGTATTCCGTCCCCAGTGGGGAGGAGGGGCCCGAATCGTGGATGCTCCGGGTTATTGGCCCGCAAAGAGCCCCCAGGCTGTAGATGTGCAGATAGCAGGTGTGCTGTAGACATAGAGACCTCACGAGGTGTGTGTGAAGAGGGTCACAGGGTGGCCCGGGGCGCTGTGCAGGGGACGTTAGGGCAGGCCCACTGTATAACCTGATCTTCCCAAAGCTGGAGGAAGACCTGCCCGGGTGTTCCCCCAAAGTCAAATGAGGTCAGCTAGCTGATGGACCCACTCTGCATTGTCCGTTCAGACGTTGCAGAATGGTTGCCAAGAAGGGTGGGTTTGGTTTTGGCCGGGCAGCTGCTAGGCTGCTCTTTCCGGCAGCAGAGGGCCAACGTGTGCGGTGGCCTCACGCAGAGCCTCGGGCTCACGGTCGGAAAACCATGTCCGCGGTAGAGAGTGGTCCTTAGTCTTTTTCCTCCGGCTTCTAGAAGCCGTTCTTCTAAAGGTAAACCGTGCTATTTACAAGAGAGCGTAGCAGCTCCTACTTCATGCCATGGGGCATTGGAATTTGGTTTGCTGGGAGAGCACCACCCCCCCCCCCTTGGACTTGGGCAGGAGTGTCCGGAAGTTGACTTTGAGCGACCCGGGCTGAGGTCGCTCGAGGGCTGGCGCATCCAACAAGCAGCTGGCTGGCATGTACTGCAGAAAAGCAGCCAGCTTACTGGTGAGATCAGCAACATGTGGCACTGAGGGGTGGTGGCTCACCTGTCCCCGTGCATGGCTCCAGGGCATCTGGAACGCTGAGTGTTCCCTTTGTGATGACGTGCCTTTCTGTATTTCTGTACCACAAGCTGGAGAGGAGAGCATCACACCTGAGTAGTCAGTGGGAAACAATTATGAGGCTCGGAGAACATCCATCAGATAGCACTGAGGAAGGTGGGTAGCTGGGACCCTCCGCAAGCAGGGAGAAGGACTATTCGAGGCCTCCAGTCAAGAACTGTAACTCCCCCACCTGTAGACAGAAGCATGTTCACAGTCTGTCTCCTCGAAGGCAACCCATCACCTGGTGTTTTGACAAAAATATTTACTGGGCCTTTTCCCCCCCTGACTTTAAAAGGTATTCTTGTTCATGGTAAGTAATTCAGGAAAACACCACCAGCACCAAAGTTTAAAGGAAAAATAAATAAATAAATGTCCCGGCATCTCCTTGATCTCTGTAGCAGTTTGATGTAGTCCCTTCCCATGTGTTTTCTGTGCGCTGTGGGGTGACTCCTGCTTCTGCTTAAACTCGTGCCTGACGGTTTTCATTTAAGATTTCCCAAAGTCAAATATTTTTCAAAGACTTCATTTCTAAGGGAAATTCCTTTGACAGTGCTGGCTTATTTCTAGTTTTTCACAATTATAAACACTTGGAATAACACGTGGGTCTGACTTTCCAACCTCTGGCTTGGGTTATAATAAGCTCATAAGGCAAGTTCAAGAACAGGAGGATATGAATTTTTAAGGCTTTCTGGAAAGATTAATTTATGCATTTCATGGGCAGGAGCATCATCATTGGATTTTATTCTATTAAAAAACAAAAAACAAGAAAACCCTGCAGTTCGATACCTAGAAAGAGGCATCTCCTTTCAAGTTGCATGTTTTTTGATGATGGATGTTTGAGGATTTTTTTTTTTTTTTTTTTTTTTTTTTGGTGCCTTTAAAGCCACTTTTCTTTCTTCTGTGAATTGTCCTTCTGTTCGTATCTCTGCCTTCAACACGAATCTTAAACACGGGAAAAGAAGGTCAGGTTGAATCTGGAATGGTGTTGGTGTGAACTGCAGCCTTGGTAAATCACGACTTGCTGGGACACAGTGGATTTTGTGTCACCAGAGCTTCTCTCTGATGTAACAGTAGAGCTCTTGAAGGAGACGAACCCGGATAAATTCCTGGTGAGATTCCCTCACCACGTTCACCTCTGAAAACCATGTGCTTTCTCCTCCATCAGGTACCAGTGCCCTGCAGGCTGCCTGGACAACAAGGCAAAGGTCTTCGGAACTCTGTTCTATGAAAGTGTAAGTGCCCTGTGTGGACGCCCATCATGCGCTTGTAATTTGTAAGGGAGGCTGGGGGTTTTCACGCGGCGGGATTTTCTTTCCGCCCCTCAGTCCCAGAGCCGATCCGTGCCTATCTCTGGGCACACAGACTAGTAAAGCCACTTTGGGGACCTGGGGCTCACCCTCGTGAAGGTCAGTCTCCGTCCTAGACAGAGCATTAACATGCTCCACTGGATGTAGAGAAAGGGCTGTTTGTCACTGCTCTTAGTTTGTAAAGCCCCTCGGATGAGTTTTCTGAGATAAGCAACCCCAGGAACAAAAACGTGTTCTAGGGAAAGGTGAGTCAGAAATGGGGTGAGATTTGGCCGGATGTCTCGGCTTTTTGTGGGTTGAGGAGGACAGACATCCTGATCGTTTCGAAAGAAGCCTGGACAAAGATGAATTCAGATGTACTTACGGTGCCCCCCTCCCTGCCCCCAGTCATCCAGCATATGCCGGGCCGCCATTCACTACGGAATCCTGGACAGCAAAGGTGGCCTGGTGGACGTCACCAGGAACGGGAAAGTCCCCTTCTTTGTCAGGTCTGAGAGGAATGGCGTGGAGTCTTTGAGGTAACTACTCTGGGATGAGGATTCCTTAACACTTTTTTTTTTTCTGGTTATGAAACTGTTGTCGAAATTTCGAAAAGCACCGAACAATATAAAGAAGCAGGGGAAAAAATCTATAAAGATGAACTTAACTCCGTAGCTCAGAATTCATACCCCACAGGCGATTTACCATCTCTCCCCTGAGTGGGTTTTCCTGTGTTTCATTTGGGCTGAGTTTTGACCCTTGCTTTTCTTCCCATCCTTGACTTTATAGGTTTATTCTTGATGAGCATTTTTTTCTTTCTCGAGAATGAGGCTTTTCATTTTTTAAGTATATTGACTTTTTTTGGCAAGATTCTGTTTTTCAGGTAAGGTCTGCAGATGGATGCAGGGCAGGCCGTCCTCCCCATCCTGACTTTCTAGGGAGCGGTGGGGGAGGCCACATCGTGGTCTGTCTGTAGAGTCAGAGGCATAAAGGAACCGGGGAGCATGGAGCCCAAGAGTGGCCAAAGAGACCTGGCTCTTTTCTCACTAACCCCTCCCCCCGCCACACCCATGACCTTGGGGCAGTTTCTCCATCCCTTCTGGGTGTAGCACCTCACTTATTAAAGAGGGCCCTGGTAGGACCCTAGCTGGCCGACACCCAGCTAGTTCACAGAGCTACCGCCAGCCAATTTTTTACATGATGCAACTCTCCCACCGTTGCTAGGAAAGCTCTGTTACCCAGAGACCTGAGAACATGCGCCGACCCCCCCCCCCCATGCCCAGGAGTCCCCGCCCCATCCAGGATCTAGTGCCCAGCGCAGCAGGGACACTGGGGACCCTGCCTCAGCTCCCTACAGCCTTGGGCCACGGCGCATCGCCTCAAGAGAGCTTCCCTCGTGTCAGTGCCCATCCCAGGTCGGCAGCAAGGACCACAGAGGCCAGAGCCCCTGTGTGTGATCCAAGGAGCTCCACTCAGGACATTTCAGAAACCACATGAGTCATTCCCCTTTGAAAGGCCTGCTTCTTCAAGAGGTCTTGCAAAATTCCCTCTTCATCCTAGCTGGGGACTCGGGGGTTGTGTAAACATGAGCAAGGAAGTCTAAACGGAAGCAAAGAACATATTCTCGGAGGCCGAGTGACCTAACGCGGGCCACGCCAGGCTCAGCATGGGCACCAAGGGTGCAGCAGGCTGGCGGGGTCTGGGCCCCGCATGGCCTGACACGCTTGTCCTGGAGCCACTTCTGGGCCCTCCCAGCAGCCAACTTTGTATCTGGAGCAGGGTTCTTTGCGTTTTAGGGAATCTGCAAACATTGAAACAAAGCAAATCAAAGCTTTATTTTCTCTAACCTCTAATTGAAACGTAGTATTTCCTGCCAGTATGAATTTTGGCCCCAAACCAGAGTAGCATTAGCAGGGCCAGCAACTCTCTCACTGAGAGAAATCTCGTTGCTGCAGACATCTGAAAACACAGTTTCTGCCATCATTACCCTGAAAGGATAGCGGTTAGAAGACTCGCCTCTCGATTGTGTGTTTACTGCATTCACAAGGAACCACAGCTATTACTTGAATGCAAAGTCGTTTTAATACTTGGATAACAATGTCACTAATAACTGGATCCCTGTTTATCTTTTAAATTTATTGCATGCCTCTTAAAGTCATTATTCTGAGAAGGGGTCCATAGGCTTCCCCAGCCTGCCAGAGGGGTTCTTGGCACAGAGAAGGTTAACGAGCCCCACTCTGGAATGGGCTTTCAGGCTGATGGGAAACAAGTAGGAAAATATAAAGTTGAGGCTGAAAATAAAAACAAACGCAAGAGCAATCTTGAACCTTTAGAAATGATTCTGTTTGCATTTACCTCATGTTTTCTTTTCCAGCAAATACAAGCCTTCCAGCTCATTCGTGGTATCAAAAGTAAAAGGTAAGCTGGCCATTTTTTTATGTGACCGTAATACACAGGTTATCTTGGGTTTCCCTGGAGATTTCATTTTCCTTAGCTATTGATTGAATGTGTTCCATGGCTGTTAATATTGCCGTTCTCAGCACTATAAAGGTTTTTTAAAGGGGTTCCTGATGAGGTCAGTTCTTTACTTTCTAAACATATCTGAACTTGATATTGGCCCTAAATTGCTAAACCAGAAGCAGGACCAGGGCTCCCAGCTGAGTGTCACAGAAATACTAATGCCTGGGTCTAGAGTACCTGATAGGGAGAGTCCATTTCTACTGGTCGACAGTAGCAGCTGGAGCCCTGTGTTGAGAAGGGTGCTGAAGCCCCATTCTTGGCTCATCATAAAACAGCTTGGTAGACCAGTGACGTCTGCCATGAACTTCAAAGGGAAACACGAGGAAGCACGTGGCACATACTTGCCATCTCTGGCCTAGCTTTTCTATTGCCTATATTTTCTATTGCCTATGTATTTGCCTATTGCCTAGGGCATATTCATTTGGCAGGGTGGGGTGCATCCATGGGAGAGTATGCTATAAGCAGAGGTGGAGCTGTGAATTCTGGTTGCCCAGACTTGGCACTCGACTGGAAGTTTCAGGCAAGCGGAGATGTGGGGGGACCCTGCCCAGCCCCTTCCTCAGGAAATTGACCTACAGACCCTTCCTTTCCCTTGGGAAATGAGTTCTTGTCGTCACAGGCCCTGGATGCAGGAATATCTAGTTAGATGTCTTTATAAAAACATGTAGCAGCTTTTTTTCCATTTTACAAAAATAATGCCTATTTATTCCAGATAATTTAAAAATACAAAGAAGCATTATAAAAAAAAAAAAAAAAGGATTTGGCCCAGATTCCACCACTCAGAGATAACATTGTGAACATTTTGGTGGATACCTTTATAGTTGATTTTCCCTATGATTAACAGTATTTGTACTGGTAATACATTGATACACTTTTAAAAATTGAAATAGAATTACATAAGTTTGGTCACCTGAGTTTTTAAAAAATAGTAATGTATCAGGAAGATACTTCTGTGCCTTTAAGTGGTGTTCTCAACCTAATTTTAATGACCTCCCCTGCCTTCCATTGTATAGCGTCCCGTGGTATACAGAACCAAGCCCCTTTGTTGGACTGCTACATAGATCCCTGGCCCATCCAAACGATAGGCTGGACCAGGGGTTGGCGAAAACCACCACCCTCAGGGGCAAATCCTTCCTGCGTCTGTCTTTGTAAATAAAGTTTTATTGGCACATATTTGCACCCATTCATTTACACATCCTTGTTAACTGGTTTCTGCTACAACAGCAGAGTTGAGTAGTTGCAACATAGTCCATAGGGCCACAAAGCCAGAAATATTTAGCCTCTGGCCCTTTAGGAAAAGTTTGCCAAGCCCTGGACTAGCTGAGGACATGCTCTCAGAGACCACAGGTGGCCAGTATTAGAGCCACTTTCTTACCTCTGTTGTTAAAAACAAGTGACCTTGAAGAAGAGCCCTAGACCCAAAATCAGAAACCCAACCTCCCACCATGTCCCGTGCAGACCCAGGGTGGTCTCCGGCCTTTGGGCCTCTGCTTCCTCCTCTGTATAATTAGAATAACACTTGCCATGAGGAGAAGGTAGGGGAGCAAATAAAAGGTATCATTGGTCCCATGGAGAAACTACTGAGGGTGATAACACTCCTGAGCTGTAGACACACTCAGGCCATGGGGCATCTCATCCCTTGAGAGCCCGGAGATGAGGTGCCCGCGGGAGCTAGGGCTCGGCACCTGCTGGCTTCTTATCCCACCTTAGTTCGGGGGTCCTGTGAGCCCCGAGGACCTGGTTGTCCGAAGGGCCGTCTCACAGTTTGGAGGCACGAGACCCAGGCTTGCCAACGACCTGACCGTTTCCCGCCGTGTTCCTGTCCCCAGTGCAGGACCTGGACTGTTACACCACTGTTGCTCAGCTCTGCCCGTTCGAGAAGGCGGGGACCCACTGCCCCAGGTAAGGCTCACTGGCATCTGGTTTTGCAAACAGAGGGGTGGAGAGAAGGAGGCATCGTGCTGAGTTGGGGGTCATCTCATGCAACGAAGCACGACCGAGTTCTAGGTGTGGCCCCTTTGTGCGGACACTCAGAAAACCGACTGCTTTGTGCTCAGAGCCACAGACCCGCTGGACCCTCTCCCTAGACCTCTGGTTCTCAACCCTGGCTGTGGGGTGGAAGTGTCCGAGGGGCATCAATAGGACAGATTCCCGGGGCCCCTGCCCAGACCACTGAGATCTGAGTCTCAGGGAGTGGCCCAGCGGGGCATCCCTGTAATAGGAGCTTCATGGTGCCATTTGTCCCCTTTAAATCAGCTCCTTGATTCTTGTGCTTCATCTGTGGTATTTTCTCTGGGTCACTTTAGAACCAGCTCATTATACCCCAGCTTTTCTGAGGTGTAACTTGCACACGATAAAATCCACCCACTGTAAGTATACAATTCGATGTGTCTTGACACACGTATCCCGTCATGCCGCCACCCCCACAATCGAGTGTCCATCATGCCAGAAACTTGCCTTGAATCACCCCTCTCCCTCCATCTCCCACCCACGTCCCTGCTAGCCACTGGTTTACGTTCCGTCACTGTAATTTTCTAGCATTTCACATAAACGGAGCCATCATAGGATGTAGACTTTTGTGTCTGGCTTCTTTCCCTCCGTGTAATGCTTTTGAGATCCATCGGTGCTGTGAGCACGTCGGTGGTGCCTTCTCCCTTGTGGCCCCGTGGGGTTCTAGTCTGTGCACGGACCGCAGTCTGTCTAAGGAGAGGGTTTTACGTGCGTGATTTTTGGAGGATGATGCATCATGACGTAAAGTGACATTTGGTAACATCTGCCTCTCAAGTACCTGTTAGGTACCTGGAAGCTGTGGACCCTTCTCCTGGGCCTCGAGGCCTAGGGATTTTCCTACAGACTGAGCTTAAAACTAACATGCGGACCCCCCTAAGGTGTGAGCAAGGAAGAGCCCCAGGAGGGTGCCAGTGAGGGACAAGACCCTGGGCGGGGACCCTGGCTCCTCTCCTCTATGGCTCACATTTCCCTTGGGGCTTTCTCACAGCTCCCACTGCCACTGCCACCACCACGCTGATCGCCTTTGAATGTTCAATCAGGGATAACAACCTTTTATTAAATATTAAATAGCTAACCCAAATCTTAAAGAGAAGCAGAAGGAAATTACTTCAGAAAACACAAAGGAACAACAACAACAAAAACTTGACGTGCTGCCAGTAGAGAAAATACAGGTTTCTGACCTGCCATTCTCGAAAAAGTAGGAAAGGATTTTCTTGCCCAAATTCTTTTTGAAAATCTCACGCAGACATCCTGCTCCCGCCCCACCACCCTTGTCCCCTCCTCCCCGCCCCCAGACTGTTTTAACTTCCCAGTGCCTTCGACTGGGCGCTCTCCCCTGCCAGAATCCTGTCTGTCTTGGGGCCACACGGTTTCCGGCTGCCATCTTGTTTCCAGCAACATGGTGTACTGTTCCAGATAAAGGCAAAAAACCTTTTCTTAAGTGAAGTTCATGCTTTTTCCCGGTTTGAATCTCTCACACCACCTAGGGCCCACCCATTTCCAGTTTGAGGGGCTCTCTTCCTCCTCTATGCCTCCAGCAGGGATGTGGTGACGGACCAGTGGTGACCTAACCCCTTCCGCCTCAGGTTATCAGTGCCCCGTCCCTGGAAACAGTTTGACTCACTGAGGTGAGGGCCCTCCACCCTCTCCTCCCTCACACAGGAAAGTGGCCTTTAACAAAGTCTATTGATGATAATCTCCATAATGTACCCGTGATATGAATTGGCCAACACTCAAGAACCGGAGGTACAATCTCTTACAATCCCATATTCATCTCTCTTACATATTTATTCTCTTTCACCTTGTTATGTCTGCGTGTCTCTTTTGTATGGAGTTTGAAAATTCTATATGCACTGATTACGAAGAGGGACAATATCTTTACCACTGCTAGGGTGGGAGAGGTATGTTTTTTCTCTTAAAGAGTAAACCGTGTGGTAGTTGCCTTTCCCGTGAAAGTAGTTAAATCTTGAAATTCAAATAGGGAAGGCCAGCTGCTTCTCAAGAACTTTTGTCTTGTGCTGATCATAACCATCACACACATGTTTCTGGTTTTCCAGAGTTCATTGTCCAGCACACTGCAAAGACGAGCCATCCTACTGGGCTCCTGTGTTTGGAACTAACATCTATGCAGATGTGAGTATGCCGGCATTTTCAGACCACCTCTCAATGCTCAGACCTCAGAAAACACGTTCCAAGGTCTGGGTACCAGACACCTGAGATCTCATTCCTGTGCTCTGAGCTAAATTTAGATCGTTTCTTTCTGTGACCCCTGCCCTAGTTTCCCCACGTGTAGATGTATTAGTACTTCCACTGGTGTGTGCTTGTGGATGCGGATGCAGGTGGACCTCGTCATGTGCAAATGTTTTCATGGTTTGGTAAATGGAATCCTTCCCCATTCATGTGCATTTTTAATGTGAAGATTTTTAGGGACCACATACTTAACACTTCATTTCCCCCGCTTTTTAATCATCTTTTCAGGTCTCCTGATACATTTATAGAACTGGTCCACTCTACTCACTGCATTTCTTTTTTTTTAAAGATTTTATTTATTTATTTGAGAGAGAGAGAATGAGAGAGAGAGAGCACGAGAGGGAAGAGGGTCAGAGGGAGAAGCAGACTCCCCGCCGAGCAGGGAGCCCGACGCGGGACTCGATCCCGGGACTCCAGCATCATGACCTGACCCGAAGGCAGTCGCTTAACCAACTGAGCCCCCCAGGCGCCCTGCAATTCTTTTTTGGCTACGTCCCCACTTAGCTAAAAGCACACAGAAGGAAATACAAATTACACTAATTGACTTGTTCATAACCACTCTTATCACACTGGAGTCTATTCTTCCACATTTCCTTACTAACTTTAGCAAGGAAGCTTTAGCCTGATTTTTCTGAGTGAATCTTCCATAACGTAGTCTATTCCCTCCAGTTGCCCAGGGTGAAGGGACATAGTGTCCCAAAGGGTGGGAATGTGGTCACAGCCCTGCCCACCAGGCTGTGTGGTCTTCCTGCCAAGTTGCTTACCTCTCTGTAGAATAAGCCAGCTGGGATTTTCTAGTCCAAGGAATCTTCGAGACCTAACATTTCCTGATTAGATCAGCATCGCCCATCCCCAGCTAACATTTTTACTCAGCTTTTTTCCATCTTCATTTTAATTGTTCTCTCCCACCCACCACCACCATCTTTGTCTCCATCTGTTTCATTTGTTCCAGATTCCTGTAAATCTGAGGTCACTAAGTTCTGTAAAGTCAAAGCAATCTTCATGGCTAACCTTTTTTTTCCCCATCTTTTTTCTTTCCTCTTTAAGTGAGTCTTCTCAGAAGCCAGTCAGCCAAAATTGAGTTTTAAAAGCTTAATGGAGTAAAATATTGTATACCTATTGTTAAACTAAATGTTTGAGCCAGACTTTGATTTTAAAATGATTTAAAAATAAAGGGATAGGCCAAGTGATTCTAGCAAAATACAATAGAAACAATAAAGGACCAGTGGCAATATTGCTATCTGATAAAGTGGAATTTAGGGTTAAACATACTGAATGGGACAACACCATTCATTGTGGAATGGCATAAAAAGTTTATGAAGGTATGAGATCACATCTGTATGCACCAAACAACATAGCAGCTAAACATATAAAGTTTTTTTTTAAAGTTAGAAATGCAAGGAGAACTTGATAAAAATGAACAATAATATAAAACTACATTTTACTATCTTTTACATTCTTTAAGAACACCATTTCAGGTATTGTTGTCCCCGTCTTCTAGGAAAACGAAGTGAGGCTTAGAATAACCTGCCCCCAAAACACACAGCTAGTACCTAGACAAGGTGAGATGCCATGAGGTTATGTCTTACTTTAGGTTCTGTTCTTTCCCCTCCCCTGTTCTTCCTTGCTTGAATGTACCTGCACTCATAATTATACTGATGTGAATGGGCATGGAAGTGAAGACCTGTGTGCAGTCTTTTAACTTAATTTGCTAAGGTGTTTTTTTTTTTTTTTAAGATTTTATTTATTTATTTGACAGAGAGAGACACAGCGAGAGAGGGAACACAAGCAGGGAGAGTGGGAGAGGGAGAAGCAGGCCTCCCGTGGAGCAGGGAGCCCGATGCGGGGCTCGATCCCAGGACCCTGGGACCATGGCCTGAGCCGAAGGCAGCCGCTCAACGACTGAGCCACCCAGGTGCCCTAATTTCACTAGGGTTTTGAGCTTTTGCAACCAGAGTGCTCAGCACAGGGCTTGGCACATAATGATTGTTTGATTAATGTCTGTTGAAGGAATAAATAAGATACTACGTAAGATACTTAATGTTTAAATATTAAGCTCTTCGAAAATAAAAGAAGGAAGGGAGAAAGGAAAAGAGAGGAGACAGGGAGAGGAGAGGGGAGGTGTCCGGAGAGAAGGAAGTTCCGTCCATCTCGGAGGTTCTTTTCTGGCCTTGGTTTCTAGGTCACTCTGTATTCTGGGAAATGACGATGCCTTTTGGAAAATGTCTGTTTAGCTAAGAGATTTATTTTGGGAGAGTTGTCTCCAGATCTTCGAAGGGCCTAATAGTGCTGCTGTTTCTGCCTGCTTACCGGGAGTGCATTACTTGGCAGCCCGCCCCCTTCGTGGTGAGTCGCAGGCAGGAGAAGCAACAGGGTGTAGCCCAAAGAGCAAAGTCTGGGTCACAAGATGCGAGTTTAAGACCCGGTTGTGAGATTGTGGGGTGAGCCTTTCTCCTACTCTGAGCCTCGGTTTTCTTATCTCTCGGCGGCTGGATAAGTTCTCACACTTGGGCACACATCAGAATCCCCCAGAGGGCTTGTTCAAACAGATTTCTGGGCCCCACCCCAGCCTTTCTGACTCAGGGAGTCTGGAGCAGAGCCAGAGAATCTGCATTTCTAACAAGTTCCCAGATGCTGCTGATGTTGCTGTTCCGGAACGGCAGTCCCTTGAGCGTTTTCGGTAATGGTGCCGGTGACAGTGATGGTGACAAGTTAACTACCATCTACTGAGTGCTGCCTGCAGCAAGGCTGCATTCAACCCCTGAGCTTGTTGCGTCTTCCAGATAGTCCTCTTAAGCCCTTACTCTCCCATGAGGAATGGTGCGCAGCCTGCTGGCTCGGGGGTGGGGGCAGTTCGGGCTCCGCAGTTTGCCAGCTGAGTGATTTGGGGCAAGTCATTTAACCTCCCTGAACCTCGTTCTACTCATCTGTTCAGAGAGGATAATAATACCTACCTCGCAGCGTTATTGAGAGATTTCTTCATCACTGCACGGGAAACTCATAGAACAGGGCCTGCCTTGGTAAATGCTCGAAAATGTTACCTATGGTGACCCCCGCTTTGTATCAAGAAAATAGGGGCTCTTGGGGTTAGAACAGGTCATTCAAGGCCACCTAGCCGACAAGTGGTGGAGGCAGGATGGCCTCTAGTCTCTCTGAGACCAGATTTCTGCTGATGGCAACTGTTAATAAATTTGCGTTGCTCGGGCCCTAAGAAGAGAAAGTGGACAACCTGTACCTTTATGGAAGCTTGCTTACTGAGAGGAGGTGTGTTGGAGGAAGGGAGAGAAGGGGCAAGAAAGGGGAAGACAGGGTTTGCCAATGTTGCGGTTGCTTGAAGAGGTGTGTGTTGATCATGGCCAATAGCCGTGCCTATCTCGTGAGAAAGATCTGGCTGTCCCCGTGAGGTTTTCATACTCGTGGCCCACAGCTGGATGGTATCACAGAAAATTTCTGTACCACTGGTGTCCAGAAATCCTCCAAGGACAGGAGGCAAAGGACTGTCCCAGAGGGCGCAAAACTAGAGTGTAGCACCTCTTGGCGGCGTTTAGTTTTGAGGATGCACCTGCTGGAGGCGGGCTCAGGTCCCTCCGGGCAGGTGCTACAGCCGAAGTGGCCCCGGGCCTCATGTCTGGTAACTCAGCAGAGTGAGCAATAGCCAGAGAGACAGAAGAAATGCCGGCCGGTGAGAACAGCAAGCACGTTCATACCCACACAGCTCGCCACCCCTAAAAGTGCGTTTAGAGGAATTCTCAAGTCTCCCTCTCTCTCTCTGAGATGCCCGCAAATGCATTGCTTCCTAATCTTTGGGGGGCACAAATCCTTTGGAGACCTGGAAATTTATGGATCCTTTCTCCAGGGGGATAGTTAAAAAGGCTTCCTCGTGCAGACAAGGTGATCAACTGTCCCCGCTTCCCTGGGATTTCCCACATTCAGCGCTAAAATCAGGGACGTTCTTGCTGACCTGCAACTCTGGGGCCTCCCAGATCCCCTCAGAGCCCACTTCACTAAGGAGCCCTGTCCTCGTCTGTTTGTTTATCAGAGAAGGAAAGATGCATTGGCGCAGGGTCATACTTGCCTTCAGTGACTCAAGCGACTCAGTCACAGAAAGCAAGAATTCCCATTCTTAGGTCCTCGGTGTGATAGTTTGCCTGGGCTCTCAGACTCTGCACAGCATGATGTACTTCCCAGGGACCCGGCTTCTCCAGCAGGACCTGGTTTTGAAGGAAGGGCAGGAGCTCATCACCTGTAGGGGGTCCCTGAGAGGGACTGCCCCAGGCTCCCAACGTGTGAGATTTCAAATCCATGTGAGATTTCAAATCAGAATTTTCAAAGAGCCCACTTGAATCCATTCACTCCTGTCTGGTGTTAAGAACCTGCTCAATGGGTTGCGTGTCCCGTTCAAAGGGCAGCTCAGGGTGCGGACTTGACCACTTCTGATGCCCCATGTAAGCAGAATCATACAGGATTCTTCATCAGCCTACTCTTCACAAAGGAGGTGCTGGCTGGGTTAACCAGTGGTTGGGACCCGAGTCACCCCACAGGTGATTACAGGGTCCCAGGTACTGTGCAGACAGGTGGCCTTGAGAGACAGCCAAGCCCAGACTCCCCCCACCCCCCCAGAGTGACCGTCACCTGTTGGTGTTTGCAAACTTGGGTCATGGTCCGCCGTGGCCTCGCCTCCACTCCCTGCACAAAGCACCGTCCCCTGCCCCCTCCTTGACACACACGGAGTCTGCAGGCTAAGCCCCTGCTGATGGCCACGGTCATGGCTGCAGGTCACTAGGTCATGAATGAAGGCAGGACTAGAGTCTGCCCTGCAGACGTCCGTCTGACTTTAAGTTGGCAACTTGCTGAGCTAGATTGAGCAGCTGGTTCTATCAGTGTGACTCAACATGTTATCGATGTCTCGGGGGTCATTCTCCTGGTGACTTTGTTTTCTGACTCTTTGGAAGTCATCACACTTAAGGGACCTCATCAGTGGAACATTTTGGTCATGAGACAGTGGTCAGAAGCTGTATGGGTTTCTTATGGCCGCTGTGATAGATGAACACAGACTTAGTAACTTCGTGGCCTTACTCTCACGGTCTGGAGGTCAGAAGCCCAGCACAGGCCTCCCCGGGCACAGGTCAGACTGTCAGCAGAGCTTCATTCCTTCTGGAGACCCCCCCAGGGGCACCTGTGTTTCCATGCCTTTCCCACTTTCCGGAAGCCGCCCACAGTCCCCGCTTGTGCCCCCCACCCCCGCCCCGCATCTGCAAAGCCAGCCCTGTGGCATCGGGCACCGTCACCCTGTAAAGATGCTGTAGGCGGCTCTGGGGTGCGGTAAAGACTGACACCCCCTGCCAAGGCCAGGGTTGGATTTTTACCCCAGGCTGGATGACAGGATCATAGAAGTGGCAGGAGAGGGTCCCCCACGTGGTATTTCACCTTTGTCGGGGGTGACTCTGAATCAGCCCATCAGGGCGAGTGAGGACCAGCTGCCCAACCCCTGAATGAATCTCCCCAGTTTGAGAAATGGTGATCAATTAGTCTCAGACATTCCATCCTGAGGATCGTTTTTCTGTTGGATAACTACAGACCCTAATGAAAATTTAACTCAAGGGTTTATTACCCAGGAATTGGACTACTTGGTAACTTTGGAAAACAGCACACCCTGCCCCTACTTGAAAGCCAGCGGCTCCCTTGGCCCCTAGAATAAACCTCAACTCCCCCTGCGGTGCTCACCGCCCCCCGGGACGGGCTCCGTTCACCTCGCCCACACTCCACCTGCCTCTGTATTCCAGCCACCCTGGCCCGCCCTCTGTTCCCCAGACCTGACAAGTTCACTCTTACCCCACGCCCTTTGCACGGGCTGTCCCCTCTGCGTGGGATGCTCTTCCCGGAGATGTTCCTAGGCAGTGGCCCATTCCCTTTTTGTCCTCCAAATCTAAGCTCCAGTGTCACACCAAGAGCAGTCTTCCCAGAGTAACTATTCTAAGAGTGTCTCCGCCCAGTCACTTTATCTCACAAGCTGGTTTTATTTTCTTCACAGGTAGAGTTGCTTGTTTGTGTATTTACTTGTCAGGCTCCCTCAACTGCATGAAGGTCAAGTCTTTATTTTGTTCCCTGCTGAGTTTTCCTGCATCTAGCACAAGACGTGGCACCTAGTAGGTGCTCAGAAAATACTTGCTGAATAAATGAACGCATGAACGAATGAAGGAGGCCAGGTCTCTCTGGAGAGACCCCTAAGGAATCAAGGGGATGATGGGTATTTCCTAGAGGTGACTTGACACTCCCCTTCACCCCCAATCAGGCCACCAAGAACTGGTTGGTGGCAGCAGGGCCTCGCCCAGGAACACGGCATCCTTGACGTTGATCATGGCTCTTCTGGCGCTTTCAGAGTTCAAGCATCTGCAAGACGGCCGTGCACGCGGGAGTCATCCGGAACGAGAGCGGGGGTTATGTGGACGTGATGCCCGTGGATAAGAAGAAGACCTACGTGGGCTCGCTCAGGAATGGAGTCCAGTCTGAAAGGTAGGGCTGCGTTCTCTGGCTCTTGACACCCAGGGTCCACCAAGGGTGCCCCTGGGGCACCTGGGAGGGAAGCCAATGACCTTGACCTTGGGAGTAGAACTTGGGCAGGCTTGCGCTCATTCTCACCAGAATACCCAAGACGAGCCTGTTCTTTTCTCTTCCTATCTGTTTTAAAACTAAGAACTTTTTTCTATGACAATATATGTTTTTGTAGAAGACTTAGAAGCATCCCATAAGCCCAAAGAATAACAATCATCCATAACCTGTCACCTGGGGGAGTTACCGTGAGACTTGTGGTGTGTCTCCCTCTGGTCCTTTTACTTGGCATGTATGCAAAGAAAACAAATGGGATCAATTTATGGTGACACAGTGGTTCTCTGTAGTTAACGATAGTATAGTGACATCTGTTACAGAAGTGAGAGCAAGGGGTCTGGAGCTCTGCCTCTCACCAGCTTTGTGCCTTCGAGCCAGCCACCTGATTTCCTTGCGCCTCAGTGTTCTCACCTGTGATACGGGGACAGCACTGGTCTCGGCCTCACAGATTGCTGGAGGATTAATCCAGTGGCTGTCTGGTAGCCGAGAGCAACAGGCCCTCAGGAGAGGAGAGTTTAGTACTCTGTACTTTCACTGAATAGATCATCAAGGCTGCTCCTAAGTCCACCCCTCCCCCCCGTGTCCCTGCTGGTGACCCCACACAGTTGCATCCGGTGGGTGCCCCGCACCTGACTTCCTGGTTGGGCAGCCCAGCACTTTGCCATCCCGGGGGGCCGATCGTCCCCGTGATGACCATCCTCACGGGGGAATGTCTGCACCTGCCAATGCTTGTTTCTGGAAATCCCTGGAAGTTGACATTCCTAGATAAAAGACCGGGCAAACCTCTGAGGCTTCGGGTATGCCTTTCCAGAACGGCCTCAGGCTGCCACTTTATCTTCTGGCACATGTTGCTCATCCTCACCTGTGTCCCTGTTGTCTGCGGAAGCACCTCACAGGCCTCACAGCTCAGGGATCCAGGCCCCAGCCCTGGGGTTTCCTCTTGAGAGCCCCGTGACCTCACACAAGGCACCAGCCTTTCCCGAGCCTCAGTTCCTGTGTCTGTGAAATGGGTCTCATGACTCGCCTTCCCCGGGGCAGATCCCTCCTGGGGGTAGAGTTGTTCTTAGGGCTGGTGGGGCAAGATACAGAGACGTTGCAGCGCTGGAGGCTGGAAGTCCCAGATCAAGGCGTGGCGGGGTGGAGGGGGGGACTTCCTCCTGAGGCCTCTCTCCTGGGTGTATAGACGGCCGCCTTCTCCCCGTGTCCTGACAAGGTCCTCCCTCTGTGCACTTCGGTGTCCCACTCTCCTCCTCTAAGGAGACTGGTCAGATTGGATCGAGCTTCACCCTTGTGACCTCATTTTTAACTTATCCCTTCAAAGACCCCCTCCAACTACGGTCTCCCCCCATTCTGAGGCATCGGGGGCTGGGATTTAAACATAGGCATGGGGTCTGGGGGACACAGCTGAGCTCATAACAGAGGGGAGTGCTGAAATTTTATATTTGAGGGGCCTTCTCTTGAAAAGGAGTATAAAATCAAGAACACAAAACGTGCCAGGCCCCCAGAAGCTTAGGCTTTCGTGGCCCCCCCATCCTCCCGGGCTGCCTGGGAGCATCAGGATGGTGCCGCTTGTGGGGACGCTGCAGAGTGGCACAAAGGTCCCCCCGCAGGGGCCCACACAGGAACTCTGTCCTGAGCCCTGACGCTGGAGCGAACAGCATCTGCATCTTCTTCAGCATGGGCAACCTTTGTTTGGGAAAAGCTTAATGAAGGGAAATTCCACTGATTTAATGGGAAGGAAATGAGGCAGCTGATTAGGTGGCATTTCCTGGCCAGGCTGGGAAGAAGTCCCAGGACAGCACTCTGTTGAGTTATCTGTATCCCTCGAAGAGGAAACGGTCTTGCTGAGAAAGGTGGCGGGCCGGCCTCTAGGCTCGCTGCCCGGCTCATCCCTGAGCAGCTCCCTGAGGGCAGCCACGCGGCTTAATGTGCGGCCCCCGCAGGTGGGTGTCTGAGACGGGTCCCCAGAGTGGCTTCTTTCCCACTGTCAGCCTCCCCCCCCCGCCCCGAGACCCGTCATTCTTTCTCTCTCCCCGAGGGACCCGCCCAGCATCGCCATCATCATTATAAATATCTTCCAGGCAGGCTTTCCCAGGCCCAGAAGTGGCGCTGCCCACTGCACCATTCAGAAAGGTTTTAGGGAATTTCTGCAGCATCTCCAGAGTTGAGATCCCGCTTCCCTTCCTCCTTGGACTCGCTCTCTTGTGACTCAGTTTCCCCACCTCTAAAGGAGAAGGTGATAACATGCCCTGGGGTAGTGGTAAGGTGGTGGGTCTCAAACCGGCCTCCACAGACCAGCAGAATCCAAATCAGCTCGGAGCTTGCTAGAAAAGCAGGTTCTCGGGCCCTCCCCAGACCTGTGGCATCTGAAGCTCCGGGACTGGGCTCTGCGATCTGTGTGAACATGACTCCCAGGGGTCCTGGTGCAGGCAGGACGATGACATGAGGGTGGTCGCATCCCCCGCACACACAGGCACCATGGTTGACTCTGATATTCTGCAATTCAGACTCATTCTCATGGGGTACCAGGACCAGTGCTGGGGTCCATGGGTGTCGAAATGACACAGGCCACCCTGCACACACAGAAGGGAGAGGCTAGGCCAGGAGGGTGCAGGCATTTGGGAGCCTGCTCCCCTGCTCGCCAACTGGGTGTCCTTGGGCAGGCAGACTCCCCAAGCTTTGGTCTCTCCTCTGCCACACGGTTGCCGTGAGGGTCACTGAGATGGTTTGTGCCAAGCACTGCCTGGTGGCTCACTGTGAGTGCCTGATGAATCCAGGGCCCCCTTGGCTATGATAGCACTTGTAAGGTCTGTTGCACACCGCCGGGCACCGTGGTTCTTGCACGCAGGGCTAAGTGACTTGTACGTAAGAAATGGGCTGCGTGGATTGTCTTTTGGGACAAGGGGGAAAGCATCTTGCGGGAACTCACTCTTTCATCCTTGCATCCATCCTTCCATTGCACACTCACCCATCAGGGGTCATATGCTTGGCGAGCATGCACGATGTCCCAGGCACCGGGATCCAGCAGGGAACACACAGCTGATCTCTGCTCAGGTGGGGCGTGTCATCCAGTGGGGTTAGAGCTGGCAAGAGAAATGACCACTGCCATTGCAGGGCCCCGGGCATCACTGTTCTGGGGTAGGGCAGGCCGCTGAGCACGTGAAGCAGGACCCAATCTCACTAGCTGGAGTCTCCTCCTCGGTGACGTGATTCCACCCGTGCCCCACCCTCCCCTTGTTTGGATGGGGACCTCAGCAGCCCTCTGCACAGAGACCAGGACTGAGAAATCTCCCCAGAGCCTGTTCCCATTAGGGACTGTGGGAATCAAGCCTGGGGCTAGAGGGTGGCTCTGTCCCCAACGTCTGCTGGTACCCGAGAGAGGTCCCAGTCGGTCCCAAGGGAGTTGTGGATGCTGGACACTCTGGGACCTGTGCACAGCAAACTTCATTCTAAATTTGGGGAATCCTTCAATCAAGCAAGCAAACAAAAGCCTCCTGAAAAGAATTCTCAGCACATGGGCCAAAAGTCAGTCCGGCTGCAAAGTGGCTTTGGTTTAGCAGTGGTCTTTTTCTAGAAGAGGATTTCCTGAGAGTTTTGAAGGATGAGTATGCAGAAGTGGGGCACTGTGGGAGGACGGGAATCTTCTTTCTCACACACATGCCCGCAAAGGATAGCAGAGGAAAGGAAAGGTGTCAGGAAGAGCTTTCGACATTGGGACTGGGGTTTGCTGGAATATTCTCATAAAGAAGCTGGACATCTGGATGAATTATCAGTTCAGGAAATTTTCCTAGACAAGGACCATTTTTTTAAGACCGATTTCACAAGGAGATTGGGAAACAGACCAGTGACGACAGATAGCATTCTTGGTCACTTGGTTTTAACAAACATAATACAGAGGTAGATGGTATATATGTAGGTGGACTTTCATCCAGAAGAGGGCTATTCATGTTGCGTTTGTGGGGCAGCTTCTGTGTGCCAGGCACTGACCTCCTGGGACACGTCCAGCACACACTTAACTATGAGCCACACGGGATTCTAAATTTTCTAGTAGACACAGTAAAAAGTAAAAAGAGGGGAAAATTTAGAATATATTTGATTGAATTCAGTGTATCAAAAATACTACCATTCTAATGCATATTAATAGAAAGTTATAAGAAATATGCATTCTTTTTTTTTTTTTTAATAAATAAGATCTTGGAGATCTAGTGTGTATGGTGCACACACAGCACATTCTCAGTTTGGGCGAGTCACATCTCAAGTGCCCAGTAGCCACTGTGACTGGTTGGTTCCTCTATTGGGCAGCCCAGCTCTGGGACTCTTAAGGGTTGGGTGTCTGAAAATCTCTCAGTGTATCCAGCAACTCGGAGAAGGAGAAACCATTAAGCTATTGTTTCCAGATGGCATGAGCTCTGCCCTCTCCCCCAAGCCAGTTGGACCACAGCTGGGTGTCAGGTTCCCTCTGCTGTGCAAATGGGTGGGTTGGCCCCTCCTGCACCGTCTAAGATCTGTACACACAGTAGCTCATCGAATCCCCCCAACAGCCCCATGAAGTGGGGACCCTAGTTATCCCCACTTTATCAGCAAGGAAAGGGAGGCACAGAGAAGTTAAGTGACTCGTTCAAGGTCACCCAGCCAGCAAGCCACAGAGCCATGATCGAATCCAGACCGCCTACCACAGCCCCCGTGCTCTTCACCAGCACACGTGACTCCACGCCACAGATAGGTCCCTCAGCCTGGGCCACAGGCCCTGCCTGGGAGGGGCCAGGGGGAGCGTTCAGTATGAGGGTGCACTTGTTTCTATCTTTAAACGTACTTATTAGAAAAGAAATACATACTTATTATTTAAATAATAAGTCTCGGGAGTAGAAAACAAGAGCCCCCCACAGGTGCCCTGTTGACCTCTGTTA